CATTCTTAATCACATATCTTGACAGCAATTTTGATTTACACAATTAAATATCCAGAATATTTAAAAAGATGTATGGCTTTGTATGGAAAACGCTTTTGGCCAAACTTTAAAATTATTAGTAAACTAACAATAGTAACGGTATAGATAATGTAGCTGCTCTGATTCGTCAAATTTCTTAAATCAATATATATATTATTGATTGATTTGTTTCTATGTAAATAATAGGATTGGTAATTCATTTACATCGTGATAAAACAACTTATTTTAAGTTGCACGGACCAACTTATCACTTAACTACGATGTTGACGATTAAAACGATGCATAGTTTCATAATTGAGATTATGAATGGATCAATGTTAGACCACCATTGAAAACCTGAAACACTGGACGGCCGTTTCGTCCTAGTATGGGAACTCAACGCTTAGAGAATTAAAAAAATAAAAACAATTTTCCCAAACGTTTAGTTGTGTAAACTGCAGTTTTTTAACCAGAGATAATCCTATTTATTTCAAAATAAACGATAAATAGTATATTGAAGAACTCAAAAGAAATTTCAGTTAAGTAGAATATTTCTTCTGTATTACATGTCATTCTGATTACTTTTAATTTATACAGCTAAACGGTAAAACAGATCTAAATCTTGCTTCATCACGTACTGGTATTGGTTGGAGAACCTTTGAAAATCAAACAGCATTGAATACTAGTTTTTACCAATGTATATCCATGATATCTTCAAGGATCTAACCTATAATAATGATCACAATACTGTGACTGGAATTGTGAGCACATGGAATTTCAACTCTATGGTTTAACAAAATTGTCCGTTGTGTGAAATCTAAAGATCTCGATGTCGATTCTTGATTGAAAGATATCTACAAACAATCATAATTTTTTTCATCAACCAGTATATGATTTTTCGTTCTCTGAATGATGTCAAAAAATTTTGTTTTAAACTTCATAGATAACTGTAACCACTCGATATTCACTAAGCACATTAATTAAATATAGATAGAAGGGGCAAATAGTAGAGTGCTAGGTTATTAATTAAAGTATTAAACATTCGGATTTTGAAATTTCACTAAAGAAATACTCGTAAGTTGATAAGACTAATGGGAAAATAAAATTGCACGGTACAAATAACCGGTGTCAAGCGATATTTGAAAGTGGTTCAGGAAATATACACACTGCCATTATTGTAATGATTAAAATATTTCAGTTCAATAGAAAGTTGGATTATTTGTTATAAGCTATATGAAATGAAGTGTATTTGTGAGTTAAGGACTTGCGAATCTTTTCAAGTACGGGATAGGCCAAAGTATAACTACCTGAGATTTAAGTAACTAGCTACTGAATTTAGAAATCTTTTGTTATATTATTACTCTAATTTACAGTTTTGTATGGAAAAATTCCATCCCCTTTTATCAATGGGAATCTGTTTAAAAGTCTATGTACACTTCAGTAGTTACGTAAAACAATGTAATTCATTGCATAGAAATGATTGAATCCAAACAAAGGGAGCGATGTATGGAAATAAGAATGACTGTGTTGTTACTTTGATTAGAATCAAAATTTTCGATTCATGTATTACACAAATTCTTTGGATGACGATTTTTATGATACTACTTAATGAATAATTAGTTCTATAATAAGACCAGGACATTAACTTGAGTATTTTCGATGAATCATCAGTGCAACATTGAATTCTGGTTATGAAAAGTAATTTGGGATTAAGACAGTTTAGTTATGGCGTCTATCTACTAGTAGTAGAAGCCTGAATGATCAGCTGGGAGAATTAGAAGTATGACAAATGATAAGTGAGCGATACGATCGGATCCATATTATTGATTAAAATTGTGATTTTATTTATTTTTTTGAGGGAAAAAGATATTTTTTCACAGTTGAATTTAAAATTCTATTTAAGCGAGACCACCACTAAAAACTTGGAAGCAAAAGACTAGTGTTTCATCCATTAGAAAACATTATTGCTTACTCTGAGATCTAAGCTTCTGTTCAAAGATCACTTCTGACATAGTAGACGCCTTAATAATAAATTTTGAATACTTTTGTTGACTTCTTATGTAAACAAATTTGTGGTAAAATTTTCTGTAACTACGATAATGAAGACACGGTAAACTAAATTATACTGTTCATTTTCTTTCTCACTATAAAAATATATTTTTTTTGTGATAAAACCGATCAATATCCAATGACTGTTATTTAATGTGGTTGTTTTAACTGCTGAAGTTTCACACATCAGATACACAAAAACATAATACTTCCTAAAGAACTGACATCAACTGAAGCACAGTTGAAGTAGAAGGATAAGTTGTCCCGTTCATTGCTCCCAGGTTTTTCATGGTGGTCTAGCTCTAATCGACTCATGTTTACGTAAGTATTTCTCAACCTGTGCATATGTGATACAAACGTTTTTCAAAATGCTCATACCCATCTGAGTTTACATATTTTCTATAACTAGATGTGTTAGGGAATAAATTTAAAATTTTTCTAATGGAAATGACACATGAACGATCTCTGTCTTTAATAAAGCATATCTATTTCCATAACATTTGTTACAACATTGCTAAGGAAAATCGAATTGGTCAGTGATTTTCATTACAAGGTAATATCAGTTAGAAAATTACTCAAATTATAGTGAACTGAATTATTGTGTAAACCCGGTCCAAAATTCTTCTCTCTAATGCATATTCAACACACTACACAGTTCCGAGTCCGTGATCTTCAGAAAACAAGCAAGCTGAATGAGAATCGTTCATCGAGTTGAAATCTAATACAAAACATTTTCAGATTCATTCAATTTGTGACTGGGCATAATTCCATTCAATATCCTCTGTAAATTATTCTCTCACTTTCAACACATCAGACTCATGATATGACTTACCATATAGTGGGTGAACTTATTTCAGATATTCAGAATTTATTATTTACATATACACTCTAATTTTATGATAAAACATAATTTAGTACTAAAAAACGGAATTTGTAAATGAAATCCTCTAACTATTTCATTCTATAAATTGGTAACGATGCATATGTGTTCTTGTAAAACCTTTATCTACTCAGTTACTTATGCAACCATGGTTATCTTGCCTGACCTTAAACAAACTATTTCCATCATTTCAAGAGGTTTGCATTTAGAATACTCAAAATTACTTAACGACGTAGCAACAACTAATTCTAACAGATCGATAATGGTAATCGTATTTTCCGTAATTTATAAAATTCAGTGTTATTGTATGATGACATATTTTTCCAAAACTGAAACATTTTATTTTTACTAAATTGAATGAACTAACTGTAGGGAAGTACTGATTTTTAAACAAAACACAAAAAGAACGTACTCAGTTCCATTTTCTATTCTTAACTTTATAGCAAACAAGTATGTCCATTGTTAATAGCTACAAGTGTAATTGTTAAAAAGTCCCATGTAGTCGGTAAAATCTTCCCTAAACAAATAACTTAGCATTAGTTTGTATAATAAAATACCGGTACAAAATTTAATAAGTAAGCGTAAGTTGAACGATGCATCATAATTAATCAATGCTCTCAACAGTGATACAACTACAATTTGAGACCCTGGCACTAACACTTATGAGTTGTGCTCGGTAGAATCCTAGCGCTCTAGAATATGGCTGCTTCTGCACCCTAGACTGCCCTAAACATACTTATTGTACAGGAAATAACTAAATTTTAAGTATCTTTACCGATTTGTATATTGGTTACGGATAGAAGTTACATGCTGTATTTGGACCTGCATATCACTCAAGAGTAACAGAATACTATATACATACCAAGATTTCAGGTATTTTGTGGAAAAGCATTTTTATTCTCAACCCATGCAATTCAAATATATAGACTTAAGGGTTTAATATGTTTTATAATTTTCAAGCAATTTCACCCAAGTTGTCTTTAGTGAAACATGAAATGCAAAGAAATCATAAATAATGTTTGGAATCTAATATTTTAAAAGCTGATTAACCGATGTTAACGATTCACCATTTGAAAGAGTAAAACCTTAGTATCGTACTGCTTACGATTGTCATTATGAAAGGTTATCAGGACAGACTAATTAAATGGAACAGTACACAACATAAAAATATATTTGTTTAAACTGTGCACCTTCACAAATTTCTAAAGTATATTCTTTAGTATAAAGTAATTTTATGCTATGTAATTTAATTAGGAACCAAGAATTTCATAAATTATAATATTTTTATATCAACTACATGAAAATATGCTACTGTCAAATACTTCAGAAAAATCCGCTCATTGATATGCATCATGTTAGAATAATTGGGTTTATTATTAGAAAGCAACTGATAAAAGTATATCTCAAAACTTTAAGTATTATTCACTTGGTGTTGTTTGCTTGTATCTTCCCATTGTTGTCCAGGACTGTAGCTGATCAGTCTCTTATTGGTATATGTGCATCCTGTGTGGATTGGATGGTGGCTAGAAGTGGAATCCAGAATGCATGTTTCGTCCTGTTTTGGACCCGTCAGCTGGATGTACCTGCATCGCAGATCTGATGTTCACTCCGGGACGAGTTCAAAATGGGACGAAGGGTGAGTCCAGGATTAGTTTGGATATAACTAAGCTATTATCATGTTTTATTTTAACAACAATGGAATATCTCAACAAATACATGTCAGTCTTATCCCCATTTGCTTTATAAATCAGGAAGTTAGTATAATCGACAATAAAGTATGAATTTACCAATTGGATTGGGTGAGGATCGCTCTTTACCACTCCAATTTTAAACACTGACTCCTGAATTCAGACTCACGTGGTTTAATTACTCTGATACTATAATATTCCTAAATTCGATCCAATATAGGATCGTGGGTAAACATTCATGAGATATCTCAAAATCGAATTAATCAATTGTTCATTCCCTGCAGCTTCGTATTTATTTGCTAGCTGACAACACTTTGTAATGCAAAAAATATTTCCAAAAAGTTGAATTAAAGAACAAACAAATCAATGTAGACCTAATTAGAAATTATATTCATACTTTATCATTTATAATATCAAAAGCTTCTACGTGTTGATAAAGATACAAACAATATAATCAGAATGGAGCAGAAGCTATAAAAAGAAACCATTCATATATGGAGAAAGAAAAATTAACAAAGCTAAGATGTATACAAGAGGAAAAATTTGTATAACTTATCTTTATAGTGAGGAAACTAGAGACAAATAAAAATATAAAGCCAATTATATACGTCAGTCAATATATATGTAATAGAAACAAACACACTAAACATACAAACAAAGACAAATTCGAACTAATGAAATGAGTTATGATATTAGTCATTTATTCAATTTAAAATAATAGACTGATTTCTATCCATAGTTCATACAAAAGCCCAGTAAAACGTCTCACGATTCCTTAAATTTATTTTGTTCTTTTTGTTAAAAGAAGTTAACGAAAGACATTCTGGACATAGAATAGTTACCTCAGTTAAACACAATAAATATTATTCTTTAAAAGTCAGTCAATAATTGTCCTCATTTTATTCACATAAGAAAATTATTTAAAAAATAAAGTTAACGATGAGAAACAAACAATAAATTCATATTTTTTGGTGAGTACACTCTTCTTTCATTGTTTCTTTTTAATGCTGAACTGTTCAGTGTTGCATTGAAGAAGCTAAGCTGAAGTATTTAGGTCGAAGTTAAAAAATATGTTTGATGTGAACATGTAGAAAAACAGAAATAAAAACATACTATATTACAGAGATTCATAATTGAAACTAATCATTATCATTATTTGTATTCCTCACTCATAACAAAGACAAAAGTAAAGAGACGTCACAACGGCAATGTGCTGGACAAACTAAACTACAAACGAGAGGATGTATGGGATAAAAATATCAATACAGTAAAATTAGTAAAATGAAAGAGAAAAATTAATAATAAGTACTGTAGTGTCATGAATTATAGTTGAGATCAACTGGCATGAAATAAAACAGTAAAAACATTAAACGAAGTACAGATGCTGACTTTTTTGTTATTATTTTTGCGGTGAATTCTTAGTTTGGTTTAGAATATTTTCAACTTGTTCAGGTATCATATATTCAGTTTGTTGTAAAGGTAACTGATATAAAAGAGGATCTTTAAGACGACGTAGTTCTGATTTCAAATGAGCTAGTTCGTCACGTAATTCATTGTAACGCTGTACGTCAAATGATGATTTATCAGCTGATTTATAAAAGCTTTTAAGATATTCACGATCAAATACTTGGGGAAGTGTGTAATCCTGTGATAAATGGTTTAGATTTAAGAAGAAAAATAAGAGAAATTATTGCATCATTAAGAAGTGAAAAAGTTGTAGTGTGAAACTTTCAAATGAAAACATACTAAGTTTTATTAGTTTTATACAGATTGTTTTGTAATATCATAAGAGTATTTTCAACATTACAAGCATATTGGATAAGTGTAGGTGATTCAATCAACACATTTACCCAGACACCGAGAGTAATAATAACCATCTACTAATTCTTGATAGAATTTTCAAATAGCAACTTTTTATCTCAAAGTTTAGATATAATATGGTTAGACGTAGTCAGCGGAAAACCTTGGATCTTAGTTTATTGTTGTTTTGAGCTCGCCGGCAAGGTGTACCTTTAATATTGAAGGAATTTATGCTTCCTGTTGGATTTGACCTCGTGCCACTCAGTTTCATAATCAGAGAATTTACAAACGAGTTACTCAGGCGTCGAACGACCTTCAGTCATACTATGATATTTACAATTGGGTAATCATGAAGTGCCGACCGATTTCTTGTTTGTCTCGTCTTCAGGTTTTTCGCATAGAAATTGAATAATCAATGACTCGTAAGTGAGAATAAATTTTTGATAGATTGAATGACCGTGTGAAAATCTTGTATCATTGTATATAAATTTTATTACAACATAAGGAATATTAAAGACCATGAAGCACCGGACGGTTGTTTTACCTTAAAAATTATTCATTAATGTGTACCATTGCACAGTCGAGCACACAACATTCAGATATCAGATAAAAACAGATTGAAATAACTATATATTTCAATATAAATTTGAACTAAGATAAAGTAAATGTACCAAACATTTAAATTAACTATTCTTATATTGTTATTGCTTCATTTTAGACCTTGTTCATCAGAACAGTTATTTTTTCGAGATTTAGAATGATTAGTGGATTTGACTGTTAATTCTTAATACGACAAATCGATACATCTCTTCGAGATGTTTACATTTTACATTTCAAATGTTCCACTCATAAACGTTTGCATGACTAATGAAATATTGTTTGATTAACACCTACGGAAAATCCACTCGTTTAATTATCTATGGTACACAAAAAGTGTATGTCAGTTTCGAAAAAATAAATGTCTTAAAACAAAAAATTGATCAGTTGTGAAAATGTATTTCACTTAACTAACGATGAATATTTTTGACAAAAAATAGATATACACATACATAAATACTTGGTATACTATAATACTTAAGACAATGTCATGTGCTCAATAAAAACAATGAATTAATGAATTCAGGAAAGCATTGAAAATGAATCATTCAATAATCTACGAATGAAAAGGAAGAAAAACTGTATTGTGTAACCATAAACAATTGATACACCCTGCGGACTGTTGATACGACATTAAGTAAAGTTTTACTTCCAATTTATTGTATTGTAAACCAACAGAAATTACTACGCATGGTTCCCGTCCACCTGAGCATTTAGTAAAGAAATGTATCCCTAAAGGCATGAAAGAATAACCATACATTATCTACTTTTTACGATTATATTCAAAATACCCGCTTTTTTCAAGTAAAAAAGTACACTAATCACAATCAGCCATCATCAACATGGAGTCTGGTGCAGATGTATGCTGGCTCAACGAGATGAAATTGACAGGATTCCCAACAAAAGTGATCGCAAGAATCACAATGGTGCATTCAAACTAACCTGTCGTGTAATCACATAATAGGCATACATAGCCATGCTAGTTCCATAACCAACAAAATATGTCACGGGTTCCATAATATCCCAGGAATATTCCCACCATGTTAACCTTGCCAGTAATCCAAATTGTATACCCATTGCACCTAATCCAAGCCAAGTAAGCCAACGTGTTCGCTGTGCTGCTTGTACAGCAATGACTGACTTTTTCTAAATCAGAAATTATTAAAAGATTAACGCAAGGAAAAAATGCTACATAACATACTAATTGTCAAACTTTGAGAACCTTTCACATGTGATGCTTAATATGGTTAGTTGATTTATTTAAGTTAAGATAAAATCCATATCAGTTTACCTCAGACAACTTGATAATTCTAATTAACTGTTTTCTGCTGAAGTACGTATTTCAACGAGAATTGAGTTCGATTCTTGATTGGAAAAAAGTGTTTATAGAAAATACGCTAGAGGAAGCTAAACCTTTTTTTAAAATGTACCCTAAAGGTAACAATAAAATCAACGATTTACTCAGAAAATTACTCACTTGTTTGCTTTAGACAGAATAATTTTTCAATCTTCTTCGAATTGAACAGTTAGAGGAATGGGTAGTATATATATATATATATATATATATATATATATATATATATATATATATATATATATATATATATATATATATATATATATATATACCGTTGATGTTTACGCTGACTTGAATGCAACATGTACCAGTAGAAAAGTCACAACATTATCCAAAAGGGTGTTCAGTCATGATAAACACCAATTTGTCCAATATGTATGATATTCACTAGTTGTAACGATTAAAATTTTCCTTTCTCGAAATTTAAGACAACGGGAAAACTCAAACCTTTACATCTGGCAAACTCATAGTTTATTTTCCCACATTATGAATGAGAATTCATAATAAATCATTCAATATCGTTGTTACTGATAGTTAGAAAAGAGAAAAAAGCGATTTCTGTCAGTGGGATCGAAAGAGGATGTTCACTTTATGTCATAATTTAACTATCTGATACATCAGTTTGTAAGAAAGATAACTCCGATTTTCTTATTGTTCTTCTAAAGAAGCTGGGACCAGACTGCCAAACGGAATGCTAAATTTTTTTAAATTCCAATCATTGAGAATTTGACTAATGCAATTTTAATTTTTGATAGCCGGTAAAAATGGCACGGAAAACTTATTTTTCCCTCGGAATAAACATGTTTGTCCGGAGATACTTGTCAAATAAAAGGACTTTTTCAAGAATAGAGTCATTTTCCAAAAATCACTACACAAAAATATAATTGATAAGTTTTCCCTCAAAAAAGGGCATATTTTTCTCATCCGATTGAAAGTTTTCTCAAACATGGAATAACAGTTTTAAATAGATGAAGGAGAAGAAAACTGCATTAGAGTAATACTTAATGAATTTATGAACAGTTCTAACTAAATAATTACAGAAAGGATGGGAAACGCAAATTGTGTTGCATAACTAGGTTTTATCGGTATTCAGATAATAAACATTGAACATAGTATACGTATTATGCATCAGTCCAGGTTTCCATGCTTCCCATCAAACCAGAGAGAAGAATTTAGCATAATGTAAAGCGAAGAAGTCAAACAAATGAGTCCAACAGCAGTTGAAAAATAAGCATATAGCCTAAATAGCTCCAAAAGGACGAATATAATTAGGGAATTAAAGTATGGAATAATACTATGTCCAAAGCCCAGGAGGAATCTGGAAAATAAATACACCTGAGTCATTGCGACCAATTTCAATAGATATCACCTAAGATTTTTAAACATAGATTCTGATTGTGTGACAAACCTCAATGAAAAAGACCATACCTCCATACACGCCTCAATCTACCAGTCAGCCATTCAGCAGACTGGTGTTATCTCTTAGTCTGCCCTCTCTAAATCAGCATACTTGTTAGAAATCTCAGGAACAATAGAGGGTTAAGGTTATATCCTATTTTGATATTTTCACTGACAAATAATACTTTCAGGTTACTAATACCTGTTAATCTTACATGACTTAAATTGAAGTTAAAATATAAGTGATAATACTAAGATAGCAGTACACAATAAATTCTACATCTTGAAGTATTATGCATAAAGACAATTATACACATGCATAGACTACATAAGACGAAATGTTTATTCCGCTATGATTCTTAAAACTAATTCTAGTAGTTATTTAATCCAAATTAATTGGTATACCTTTTCAAATGGTTCCAATTGCAGATTCACATCTTCTATACATTTCTCAAGTTGTTGTTGCTTTTGTGCATAAAATTCATCAACATGAATGGCATTGGCAAGTTTTGAGATTAGTTGTCGAACATTTGCTAAATCTTTCGGCAATGCAGTAAACTGGGAGGCTGTGGAGAAAAAATCAGAATTTGTTAGGAGTGCAGTAAATAAGGTAATCATTTATGGTAAATAGACATTTAGAATTCCTGAAAAACATCAAGTATGTACACTTAACAATTACTAACAAATAACATCTATAATACGGGCTTCATAGGCCTTTTATAATATCAAAAGTGATTGTGATTAAAAATATTACACCTAGTGTAAGGCCTTCTTTGTATGCATGTGTGTAGTCCCACCATGTGTACCCTACAATTGACAATAACGCTTTATTTCATTTAAAAGGTAAGGTAGCTGTTCTCAATATTTTGGTTTAGTGAGCATTTTGTTCATTTTGGTTTTAGAGAATATTATTATTATTCATTTTACTTACCATTGTTTTTACAATGTATTGCTTTATTTGTATCGTTTTTACTGACTGGTTTAATTTTGTCTTACTTAACCTTCATATTTGTTGGCTTCCATTTTGATTGTCTGTTTGCCATTAAGTTGATGAATTTGATCTATCCATTGTGGATAGAACTAAGTTTTTTACTTAACAAAAACGTTTTGTTCTGTTTGAAAATTTGACTGTACTAATTTTTGGAGTACAGAATACCGTTCTCTGCTTGATAGGAAACTTATACTCACCGCTCATTTGATTCTCCCAAATGTACTAGGTATTAGATAGAATGGTATATCTGTCTAGGTATCCCTGTAAATTCTACATATTATGTGTAACTTTGTTTAGTTAGTACCTCTGTTATAACTGAATAGTTATGGTTTAATTTACTGCCAGATTTCAGCATGTGACGAACCAATGGTAGGAGATATACAGAATGTATCGCAATTTTAGTAATTCTGGTTCTACACCTACTTCCATCCCGAGAAGTGTAATTGAACTCATCATGAATACCTATAATGAATATGTGTTGTTCTTAAAAAGTAGTTACAGCAAAACGCTGATTTACATATTTTTTAGAAACGATTTTGTAAATATGAATAAAACTTAGGAATTTCTTATGCTTACGGGGATAAAAACACTTTTCATATGCATTTATTAAAACTGACAATACCTCACTGTCAGAACTATTTTTAACCGTTTCAAATTAAATAAAAGTTTTAGTGTATTCGTGATTGAACAAGGTTAAACCATGAGTCAATAATTTCAAGTTTGAAATTATGATGGACAGCTATTCTTTTATATTTAACTGATTCATATTTCGATGAAAAAAACTTTATAGTCAAGTTAGTTGCTTCAATTGACCAATATAATATTGAAAAATGTGATTATTAAAATTTCAATCAACTGAAAATATTAAAAAATAATGTTCAAAGTATATGACTTAAAACAGTAATATTATAGGTGCAATGTCTAAAACTATAAGTTTTATTCACATGAAAATTCCATTCTAATGCATATAGTAAATTTACTCTCTGAGGGGGTTAATAGTGGTGAGTATTGACCAAAAAATAAAAAGATATTTGACCAGCTGAACCTACATTATTTTTTTTTAATATCAGCTAAAAAGAAACAATAATCATGTCACACTTGAAAGTCAGCTGATGTAATATATATATGGTGTGAGTGAAATCTAAAAATATTTTATAATTACTTTATATCATCTCTCTTCTGTTTGTAAATTCAAACAAAAGAAGTTCAAGTTGCAAGACATAACTAATTGATAAGCTTCTACATGAAATAACTTATAAATCAATCTTTTTAGAAACATACTATTATTATTTCTCACAATACTATACCGTTAAAATTTTCCCTTCAAAAAACTAATTCAAAGTTGGCATTAAAAAGTCAAAACTTTGGATTTCTTTCAGTACTTCATAATAAAAGTGATTTTTTGAGAATCATTAAAATTCCTAGTTTGAAAATGGAAACTTTATCATGTTAGATAGTTCATGCAGATAAATTCATTTTGAAGACGGTTTTCATCACGAACTAAAATCAACCAACTGAAGACCTACTGGAAGCCAGGAAGCATTGGAAAGGTGTTTCATCCGAAGGTGTAACCTCCAAGAGTATGTTCTGACGACCGTACACATGGTTGAGTCAAGGTCTTTCAGGTCTCTTGAAGAGCACGATAATTCTAGACAACTGTGCGAAATTATAGTTATATTTTACTGTTTAGGAATACAAATTTATTAAATGTACTCCAGTTTTGTTATAACAATACATTAGTTACATACTTATTTCAGTCCATAAATTCACGTACGTTGTGATATTCACATTTTGCTTGCATAGTCACGTAGATGATGTATAGTAACCTCAAAAGACATGTCACAGCTCACTTCGTTTTCTGTTGTTCTGACAGAAAGCTTAAAAAAGGACAAATCATATGATTTTTCGACTATGTTGAAATACACTAACGGAAGTTAAAGATATATCACTAGTAAGATAGGAGGGATAGCACCCTAACTATTTAAATTACTACTGAATGTTTGAATTATTGATATTAACATGAGACGCTTCTTCGGAGTAAATAAAAATGTTTGCTCTGAAGAAGCGTCTTCTACTAAGTCACGAAACGTCAAAAATACGATTTTTATACTGATTGGGATGTGACAGAAAGCATATTTATTATTAACTTTCTACCCAATTCTCGATTTATTTGAAACTATCTCTTGACGTTGCTTCATTGCCTTGTGGATCAGACTTTAGGTCGAAGGCTCCGGGCGTGACCCTCTAAGAAAACTACCTGCTTCGGTCTGGCATCCGGGTAGTATCACAGCCCATACACAAATCAAGTGACGTGTGTGGAGCATATGTATTCGGTTCCCCTTTGTACCAATATTTATGTGTTCAAATAAAATCAAATCATGTCCAACCTTGGCATTAATACACAATGATAAGTTAATTTCGTTAAACAGTATGATTGGTATAGTGAATTATCTTAGATATGGAAATCACAATTTGCAATCCGGAGATTTAACTAGATTTTACCTGGTAGCACGATTCTTTTCTTCAGCTGTGAATCATTTTATGTTCACATCCTTTCTTAAAATTGATACAATTAATAATCAACTGATTTATTTGATTTCCCATAAGCTGATGTGATTAAAGATACATCCCACCTCCTATTTTAACGAACCACTACCTCTCACTAAATAATAACTATCTTTTATGCGAAGTATTTATTTTATTGGTTCATATAAACAGGAAAAAATCGATGGTGGTCACGAGCTACGTACAAAACCTGTTCAATGAACGCTTTAATCCAATCAAAATGTTCAGTTATCTTGATGTATTTTGCTTGAATAAAACAACGGAATAAACGACAGTGATATTATAGCCAAATTATTGACTTTTCAAAATAAAAATAACTGATTACTAAATTATTTACATGGCAAAATAACAGAAAAATATTGCGAAATCGATTCGTTACTATTCGATTAAAATATGAAACAGTTGAAAAACAAACATCACTAATTTGAACAGTTGGCTTGAATATCCTTACAGACCTGGTGATTAAAACTAAAAGAGAATATGAAATACATTAGAATACGAATGAGTTAATTTGGGACTACCAGATTCATCTGTTGTTAACTGAGATTTTCTAATGGACTCAACAGCTCGATATACTTCGGTATTACATCAGATACTGACTGTTTAAAATGACAGTGAAGATTTTGTATAGACAGTATTCATCAGCCCATTGTTTCCACTAAATAAAATAATGTTCCGAGTTAAAAGTGTTAGCAAATGAAGCTAAGAACTGGTATCCCTGCAATAATTATTCACTGGAACATATTTCAACATAGGAAAAATTATTATGCATTTGAACAATGTGTAGTAGTTGAATAAAGAGAATGAATTTTATGTAGCGATATTAAAAACGATATTGAAAATGTTAGTTTAATTTAAAAAGCAGAAACAGTCATAAAACAAAAACATATCCCCTATTTGTAAAACTAACGAATACTTTATAAACTGTATTTACTTTAAATTCTTTTGAAAACTTAAGGAAACATAAAATTCATCGTATAATTGACCACAATGTAGTTTATATGACTTATCATCAAGATCTGAGAGAATACTTTCACGAAGTTGAGCTCCGAGCATTATAGCGTTGACTTGTAATGTTTTATGGGATCTTTCCTTTTATGAGACACACATTACCATTGAGATATTTACGCGAAACCTAGCGGAAAATATGTCCGTATTTTTTTATATTTTAGAAGGCAACTAATTGATTCAAATCCTTAATATCAACAGGAAGATTTAAACTATATCAACCCCACTGCGCAAGGTGGTGGATGTCTTAACTCAGAGAACAATGTGTTAGCTGTTTGAAGCGAAAGGTACTAGATTCGGGTTCAAGTGTGAACATCAATACTTAGATGGTGGCATATCCAGCTGAAGAACCCCCAAAATGTATGAAATCCAACTCCTAAATATTACTTCTAGTCCTTACCCAACTCTACATAGAAATCATCTCCATATTTTAATGTATATTTACAGTGAAGAAAAAGAGACATTGAAAACTAAAAATCACTGGACAGTTGTTTCTGATTTTTTTCGGCAGAGAATGGGTATTCATTAACTACAATTAAAGGTTTTTCAAGAGCGGTTCAAGGTATTATATTTAATAACAAATAAAAAGGACTTACAGATTGACGACGTATCTACATAGTATTTTTGGTCATTGATAAGTATGTGAAAATCAGAAGTAAGTAGATCGGAAATCGAATTTGATCTTGCGATCCTCGTCCCATCTGTGAATTTGTAAATAACATCATTCACACATCAGTTATGAAGGATTATCCTATCGGAGGTGGTATGTCTGATAGATAAAGAATATTGTATAGCATTTTGTTCAATGTAACTTTATAAATGCTAAAAATGGTCTATGAAGGTAGAAAATATACAAAGGTTGGAGTATCTGATCATGGATGGTATCAGATAGTGTGTTTCAGCCCGTGTCAATAATACTGCGGTTATGCAACGAGCACTAAGCAGGAAGCATAAATCCTTTGATGTGGCTATGAATTTTTACAGGGACATGCTGTAGATTCTAAGCAACACCTTACACTTATAATCCTGTCTCGGATAAGATTAGACTGAGAAACGTAATGATTACCAATCCAAAATATATCATAATTCCATAAAATCATCTGTTTTCACACTGAGTCGGGCTGGGAAGTTCAGACTTCAGAGTTTGGGCTCGAGCGATAATCAAATTTTATACCTGGAGCCCTTAGGTGAAACGGTCTGAAAATAGCCACACTGATGCAAGTGTATTAGTTATTTATCTTCCTTTAAATCTTGAATTCAAATAGTAACTCATGTATTTTATCCCTTAATAGTATTTTTCTTCAGAATCATATTTTCCATGTATAGCTCACTACTGCTGTCATTATAATAATTTTGACTTATTTGATTTCTATTTTGTTAATCTTCGTTATCTGGACTTATATGTTGAATGGTAATTTCAGTCGATGAACATATATACCACATACTACTTTGTTTGTAGTGGTGATGTTTTACTGTTTTATAAACTACAACTAGTGATACTTTACAGAAAAGAGAAGTTGTAGACGGACTCTAGAAACTACTCCCTACCTATAAATCCATATATATACAACATAAAAAATGAATCCAAAGTTCTAAATTTTTGTTTGAGAAACGATACATTGCGTACAACGTCTGAGTATCAAATGTTTCAACTTGACATATTAAAATATATATTCGACAAAAAGCACCTAATATTTTTTCAGGGGTTGTAAACATCTCAATAAAAAATAATCTGAATAATGTAGCCCTTTTTCCAGGAATGCTATTATTATTTACTTAGATGATCACATGGATCTTTAAATATTATTTTAAGTTCATTTTAATCATGAAACGATATTATGTGGAGTGCTCTTTGGGACCAGGTAGCATTGATAGGCCATTTTTTAGTTTACAACTGCTCAGTGGTACGCGTCAATAGCTCGTGGAGCCAACTTACATACGGATGGCACAATGTTATGGTTGCACTACATCCTACACTGAAGGTATTGGGATCTCCTTTATGTCGGGTTGTGGATGAGCACTTTTCAACGGATATAATCCAGGACTGAATATTTTTTTTAGGGTTAGCTGGCTTTCAGTAGTTCCAGGATTGATAACACTCCGTGCTGAAAACAACTGTCATTACCAATAGTTTACCAGAGAAAACATACGTGGGATAGGTCGTACTTTGTTTCTGTCTACTAGATATATTCAAAACGGTCTTACTAACAACCTAGCCTATAGATTTATCAATTTTCAAGTGGTATTTCAAATCGATCTTTGTAAATATTCCTTTTAGTTGAAACTAAATTAATACGTCAATCTTCAATCACTAACAATGATCAATTTTGACTGCATTTCGTTATACACATTTTCCAGTAGTATAATTTCGAAAAATAAACGTGATTTCAAAAGTTGTGCTAATTAACAGACAATTAATAGTGATAAATATATAATGTAGGTCACTCTAAGAAATCGACATAGAACACTTACTTCATGATGCAATAGTAATTATAATACCACTGAAAACCTCATAACTTTAAGCTGGTACAAAATAACGTTAAGTTTCCGAACTGATGGATATATGTAGAGGAATGATGAAGTGTACAACATAACATAATAATATCTGAATGTTACTGATTCTCTTTCTATATATACATATATATAAAAGACTATCCATTGTGTAGACAAAACTGAGTATCGGTTTCTCTAGTGAGATGAAAATACAATACTCGAACTTGATGACTGAATAATGGTAACACAGTTGTTCTGTGTTCTATCTACGAAGGTATTGGAGGTATTCAGTGGTATGCAATGATGAAAAACACTTTTAAAAGTACTGAGTGGTTTTAGCATATTTAGTTAAGATTGATTTATAATCGTTACCTACAACCGACGCCTTTTCCATTTCTTTTGCTTTCGTTGCCCACCACTACTCACGGTCGTTCCTTAGACTTTTGCTTAACCCAGATCTGATTTGCTTTAGCTCTTCATCGTGTTCAGAGCCTGATGGGGGATGATTTTACAATAATTCATCAGTCCAATAGACGTAGAAGAAATGTATTGGTTTTTCGTAACCCTGTGGTTTAAATCACTGATAGATGTCACTGCTGTTTACACAGCTGTTTGTATATCTTTCCAAGCAACATCTGGGTCAGACTCGTTTTCAGAACTACCTAAGTGTGACCTCAGTTGTTCTTAGAACCTAATTTTGGTTTTTTCATTACTCAATTCAATTCCAATGGGTCTTTTAAGTGTGGCTTTTCTGTGTTCCGTGAGGCGCAAGCAGATGCGTACTCATATTAGAGCATGGTCGGAGTCCAAGCAGGTATTCCAGAATGAGCGAAAATCTCCTATCGGCCCTGTCCAACGATGACTGATGGGAATATGGTCTATCTGATTCCATCATTGGTTTGGTGCGGGGGGCCATCATGTTAAACGATGTCTGTCCTTATGCTTATAATTAGTGTTTGCTAAAAATAAACAACTGTCTGAGCACAGTTGCAGCAGATAGTCACCATTATCTGTTCGCTGAGCCGGAATACCAAAATACCCACTCAAATGTCTTTCTGTTTGGTTTAAGCTACCTGCCTGGGCATTAAAGTCACCTGCTACGAATAATATGTCTGAACGTTTAGCCTTCTGGAAAAATTCAGAAAGCTTTCTGTAAGAGTCATCTTCCACTTCATCCGGGCTGCAGTCAGTGGGAGCGTAGGCAGAAACAACGAAAAGGCGACGGCGTGTGCCCCTATTCTTCCGAGTTCTTACGGAGCCGTTTAGCCGAACAGCACATAGACGACTGTTAACGCGGATCCGCTCTAATAGTGCTTGTTCTGCCCTCGTACTTGGTGCTATACCTACACCTGCAAGTCCATGAGAACTTACCGTCAGGTCGGCAGATACACGGAGGGTGTACCTCATCGGCTCCTCATTTTGGCGAGGTGAGGTTAAGTGAATGACCACACTAGGATTCTGTATGCGTGTTTCGGAGACACAGCATACATCAATGGTACGAGATTCTAGGGTTTTAGCCAAGGAGGACTGCTGACCGATTTGACATAGGGTGAGTACGTTGAAGGCTCTAATGTGTAGTTTGGAGCGAGGTTTCAGTAGACCAGAGACAGTGTTTTGAGCATTAGAATCGTTGGCTATGGTGACACTTGATGAGGAGGCCAAAAGAAGAAGTTTAGTGTTGAGAGTCGGTGTAGAACGAAAAATAGGAAATGAAGAGGGAGGTTGATTATGAATACAGTGATCTTGAGTGTTGTTAGAGGCATGAGGGTGGTTATCACTTCCCGGTTGCCCACACCGTGGAAGGGTTCTTCTGGAGGTACCTGGAAAAGAAGTTGGAGTAAAGGTGCTCTTAGTGGCCTGAGAGCGTGACCGCAGTGCCCAAGGGACAACTGCTTGAGGTCGGTCACACACAACCTTTTTGTGGGTAATTTTCGTGTTAGCTCCGTACGTGTTGAGACCTTACCGCCGGAGACGGATATCCATGGGATAAGGGGAGGTGTGCATTTTTAAGGTCGACCTTTTCTAACCCCACCCCTCCTTGTGGGAAGATATCATCGCTGTTATGTTGGTTGTCTGAAGGAAACACCTTACTGCCGTCACACCTCTGTACAGTCAGCAGTACGACTTCGCCCTCAGACCTTGGGTTTTCTGCTTTTAGTCTTATCTCTCTTCAACCGACCTGTTTGGCATGGTAGGACCTTGAGGAACAATTGTTCCAGACAGTATAGCTCGATTGGTTCATCACGATAGGTAAGTCCGACCACCACGTCAAGTTAGCAAAAACGGTCGGGCGTAGGTGTATACACTCTTCGTCTTTCGTTAAACTATGAAATTAAAATCGCTTCATATCTTCTTTCTACAAACTAATTCTCTCTTCCTGTAAATGTCCTTATATGCAATCTTTCTTTTATATATTACCACCACTGAATTAACTACTATGAATTCGGTGTTCATCTTGTTGTGCCAATGAGGTATGGCAACTTAGACCGATGCACATATGTGCATGATTCTACGTTGTAGCTGACTGACTGATTGATTTATAATTTACCACTTGAAGTACAACTGGTATATATATCATCTATAAAATATTAGTTTAATTTTCGACCCATCTTTTTATATCAAAATATGAAGTCGCTGACAACTAAACTGGGATGATACACTCATTACTGTATAATAAAATGTTTTTGACTAGAGTGCGGATATGCTACATAACATAAATTCCATTTCCATAGCGTACCACTAATTAATCGTTTGATTTTAATATTCAAAATCTCAAGAACTTGTTGGCTCGTTTTCCGTAGTTCGTATCTCAAAGTTTGTTTAAGTTCCTGATTCTGGCTAAGAAATTTTATCCCTTTCAGAAATGTGCAGTTTATCATGCTTTATTCTTTCTTTGGACAGTTAGAACATAGTAAATTTATAAGACAGAGTATTGACTGGGACACCTGATGTTCAGTCCTCATTTCCCAGATCTCCGATTCTCAGTCACCAAGTATTCAGACACAGCCCACTGTTTGGTTTGTGATTAGATTAAAGTAGCCATTACCGAATTAAGATTGAATCAAAATATTAAGACCACAGAACACCTTAAAATAATGCAAATTGGAACTCTAATACCCTAAAGAATTCCAAAACGAGATCAAAGATGATCTAAAATGAAAGTTATCTCTAGCTTTGACACGAAAAAATGAGTCTTGCTTGATACGCT